CACAACATTTTAACCATTACATACAAATATAGGGTGTAAATAGTATCAGTGGATTCTAGCGAAATTGCGCAATCTAGTAGATTTTTTTTATTTTTTGCGGAATCTGGCAGAATAACTTTAAACTTAAATGGTAATAGGTGAATCTGGCGGAATGTAGCGGAATTTAAAAAAAAAAAATTATAAGGAAATAATAAAATAGATTATGTTTGTTAACATTAAATATTTATGCTCATATATGTATTAAATTTTACAAAAAAATACTTTTATTGAAAATTGACAACAAAAAAATATAATAATATTTATTGAGTTAATTTTTTTATAAATTCAAAATATTTATTAACATTTTTGCTTTTATGTTTGTTTAACAAAATTTACAAATATTTTTTATTATTAACTATTAAAATAAGTGAAAACTTATAAAATTTATTCATTTTTAATATTAGTAATTTATTAACAAAGAAAATAAAAAATAAAAATTTAATTTCAAAATTACAAATTAAAAATACATTATTCTTAATTATATATTAAAATTCACTAATGATAATCATCCCATATTTGTTTTTTGTGGTTTGAAAAAAAAATATTATCTATTCTTCATAAACAGTAAAAATGATAAATGTTTAGCATACATAACAAAAATATCACAAACGAAAGTATTTTTCACTCTCTGTTACGGAAAAGGATAATTTTCGATTATTTAGTTAGCATATCTTATGTGAATATTCTTTACTTGTTCATAAAGTCTTATGTAACTATATATACCTTTGGCCTATCAATAATAAACTCAAACACTTTCTCTAAGATTTACATGGTATTAGAGACAATATCCTAATTTTTCTACTAAAAAAACCCCTATTTTTCTTCTACGTTTCTTCTAAAACCCTAGCTTTTTCTCCTAACCTAAGTTTCTATATCATGGCCGTCTCTACCAAGGAATCGATCTCATCATCTCCTTACAATCTTTCTTCGAGTGATCAACCACATCTATGAAACTATGATCCTACTCAACGGCTAAAACTATGAAAAGTGGGCCAAACTTGCCCGCAATAATCTATTG